TTTTGGGGCGTGCACAATACTATTGCTCTAATCACTATCCTGGCAGCTAACAGATCTACTTTTTTCATAGTCCTTGGTGAATTTGTTGATCAGTTTCCGGAATAGCCGATAATACTTGGCAGGTATTGATTTGGCTCCTTAAGCGAAAAATATTTATAACTGCAATTAACTCGCGTGAAAAGCTTTTATTCACGATAACGGTTTTCTAACGGACGTTTTCAATCGGATATGCATTTCATAGTAAACGCTAAAAGCTGTGCCAAAGCTCAGATCAATGCTTTTAATCTCAGCCTGATTGTTGTGTGTGTGTGTGCGTGCGTGAGTGCGTGTTCTCTCCTACATTTGCATTTACCCGCCCGAATTCAGCTACAAGTTGCATTATTTGCATTGTTGCACCTGCATTCGATGCGATTGCAGAAACTGAAGTTCAAGGTCATTACTTAGCATACTTATGTATGCACATGCACACATGCACATGTACATGTGTACGGTACATAAATAAAATTAGCTGGGCAGCCGATTTTGACACCCGCTGCTTGAAATGATCGTCGTTCATTCTGCATTGCACTGTTTCCGATGTCTGAATGTTGTTGTTGTAAAGTTCAGCCGCTGTCGCCGCTCTTATCAGTTGTTGCGGCCACCGCCCTCTCACAAACATCTGTCTCTCTCTCTCTCTCTCTCTCCCGTTCTCCGTTGCGCTCAGTGCTTTGTTTCGCACTCTTCATCTGTCCCTCTTCCTATATTTGTATTTTTGCAACACGGCAGCTTTTGTTGTTGTTAAATAACTTTTGCTGCCGTTTGCCTCTTCTGCTCTTCTGCTCTTCTTTAGCTTTGTTTTTAGTGTTGTCGCTGCTGCTGGGTCCGCCGTTGCTGAGCTGACTCGCATTTTATGTGCTGTCCCTTCCCCCCCCCTGTTTTTCGACTCGTCATAAGCTGCTTTGGCTGCGGCCCGAGCGAACGAGCAAACGAACGTCCGCCCGCCGCTGACGCTGCCGCTGCGTCTGCGGCTGTTGAACAGCATCCCAAATTGTTTCCATCGATTCTCAAAGCAGCAGCAACGTTGTAGAATTTTGTGCCCCATTGCCATAACCCACCCCACCGCCCCCTTGGCATCCACAGCATCCCCAGCATCGTTTCTCGCTGCGGCTCTTTTCCTTTTTCAAGTTGTTTTGTTGCTGTTGCTGCTGTCGCCGCTGCCGTCGTCGTCGTCGTCGTTGTCTCAGCCAGCGCCACACTTGGCCCACTCAGCTGCTGTCGCTGGCTTGCGACTGTAGCGAACCTACGACCAGTTCCCTTCCCAAGCACTGCGTCCCGCCCGCGCAGCTCCTTCTACAGTATGTGCGTGTGTCTGTTTGTATGTGTGTGTGTGTATGTCTCTGTGTGCGATTGAGATTGTGTTTGTGTGGCGGACTAGCGTACCCAAACTAACACGTAGACGTCGTCGTCGTCGTCGTCGACGCGCCTGCATATATGTGTGTATGTATGTGTGTGTGTGTGTGTGTGCTTGTATCTCTTCAGCTTGTGCGCGTTTTTGTTGCTTTTATTATATTTTTTCGCTTTTCTCTATGTCCCGTGCTTCAGCCAGCGACGGTGACGGCGACAGCAACGGCAACGGCAACAGCAGCGGCAACCAACAAGCACCTTCCTTTTACCAGCTCCTACGGCGAATGACTGCCGCACATCGCACCAGGCCCCCTCCCTTCTCTTCTTTTAGCGCCCCTACCCATACAATGTGCCGCCTGCCGCGTCCTTGTGGCCTCCCCATTCCCATTCCCAGTCACCAGTTCTCGTCGTCGTCATCATCATCATTGCCATCAAAAGCCCGGCAGCCAGCCGAGGGACGGCAATGCGCGTCTCCCCTCCCCCAAGCACTAGCGCCAAATGGTTGAGCGGACGGGCAGACAAAGGGAGGGGAAACTGGGCGAGAGGAACGGGAGTGGGGCGTGGCGCGTTTGCGTGCGGCGGCGTGAAGCCGGAGGCATGGCTGTGTGCATGGGCGTGTAGAAGTGTGAATGTATTTGTGCATGGCTATATGTATTGTGTGTGTGTGAGTGTGTGTGTGCGTGTGTTTGTTGTTGTTGTTGTTGTTGTTGTTGTTGTTGTTTCTGCTGATTCTCTGCCGCTGCTGCTGTTTGGGGTCTCGCTATCATGCTGAAGCGGCGCGGCCTACAAAGAGCGACGAAGTTGCTGGCGCAGTCACCGCCGCCGCTTATTTTGAGCTTTTGTTGTTTGTGTTGTTGTTGTTGTTGTTTTAGTTGTTGCTTTTCGCAAATCGATAAACGATGTCCGGGACTGCGGCATAGCCCAGCGCTTTGCGTGTGTACCTATGTACACGCATACATATGTATGTATGTGTATTTAGTATACATATATGTACATATATATAGATAGGTGTGCTGGTGTGCATGTATGTATACACTGATGTGCGTGTGTCCGTGTGGAGCCAAGCGGCCCCAACATGTCCCGTGGCTGGTCAGCAGCGTTCTGAATTTTGATGCAGTTATCGCAGCGCTCACCATGTAATATGTGTCGTATATAACACAGATACATATCTGGCTACATATGTATGTATGTAGTAATATACGTATATGTACGCACATATGTATGTATGTTAGTAACTGCATGACACATACGCAGCATATGCATACATATACATATATCAGCTTATTTACTTATCGCAATACATAACCTTATACTTTTACGATAATTAACAATAACGGTAAAAAAAACTTAAACTGAATTTGAAGAAAGGCTGAGAATAGCACATATCGATAACTCGTCATGTTTACGCGATATCGATAACAATCGTTATCGAAATCGAGCCAGGACACAACATTTCGGGCTTCGGTTTTGACCGAACCAATGCGAATACAGTTCGGAAAATGGGTGGGAACAGCTTTTATGTTTGGTACAAATTTTGAAAATGTAGATAACTAATAATAAATTGAAATAATAGTAAAAAGTCGAAATGAATGTTCATTAAATAACTTTTGTTCTTACCACAATTGTATCCAATCAGATAATTATATTTGACGAGCAGTCCTAGAAGTTCTCACAGCACCATCGAAATGTCGAATTTTGAGTTTTGTCTGCGCGAGATTGCCGATGATATTAGAAATCCGAACGATTCGATCAATGCCAACGACTTCTTTGCTGTTAAGGATTACGTATTAAGCATAATGCGCAATCAGGATAACTACTTTCGAAAGATATGCCAAAACGACATACTATTCGGTAGGTGCCCAAATCTATCTCAACAATATGTTGGCATACAGATAGATTTGTATCTATTGCAGGCAGCATGGCGCATGATGTGCGTCTCTACGATGACGACGAGCTCGATGTGCTGATGGAGTTGCGCTTTCCGGCTTACAGTCGCATCGAGCAGGTGGACGACGAGCAGCATCCGGGCATGGTGTTCCTGGACTTCTCGGACGCCTGTGTTGACAATATGGTGTTCAAGCGGCTGGCCAACAATAATCGAATGTACATGAATCGCTACAGCCTCAAGCGCTGGCTGAACAACATCTTTGTGAATGCTCTGGACAACTATGGCAATGTGGTGTACGGGGACTATGACGAGTATACGCTGGGCTACGAGTGGCGCGGCATTACGTACACCATCACAGCGGAGTCTCCGTCGCGCATCTTCAACATTGACTTTGTGCCGGCCGTAAAAATTGTGCGTCCCAAATCCGGCACGTGGCTTGCAATTCCCAAATATACGAGCGGCAATACGCACCATTTCACGTTCATGATCAGCAATGCGCAGGCGGAGCTGCAGCACGTGGACCGCTGCGGCCAAGCATTGCGGGATGCACTGCGTCTATTGCAAGCTCTGCGCAATGCCAAGCAGCTGTGGCAGCTGCGCTGCTATCACTTTGTCACCCTGGCCATTTGGTTGGCCAGGCGCGTTGGCCACACAAAGATGTTCCATCTGTCGGTGAGCGAGCTCTTTCTTATGGTAAGTACCGTTTACTTTAAATCCTCCAAATGTCTGAACGCCTTCGTCTCATGCAGTTGCTGTCGGATCTGTGCGACGCACTCCTCGAAGGCCATCTACCATATGTGTGGAACTCGCAAATGAATCTCCTCGGCAACTTTTCGGATAACGAGCTGTCGCAGTACATCAGCGAACTTTGCAATGCCTACAATGTGCTCGACTCGTATTCATATAAGCCAACCGTTAGCTTTGCACGCTGCCGCCGGTTCTTTGATTAGAAGTCTCGGAAGAACTTCAAATCAACCAAATACTTGACATATAAATATATTTATTTACAACTTGCCAAGCTCATGTTGAATACCATTCAATGGCCTACAACTTTTATACTTTTGTACTTTTTGTATTAACCTAATAAACCAAAAAACGAATGAATTGAAATTTTAATCATTTCATTTCTGCGCGTTTTGCGCGGGAAATGTCGCATCGATTTCTATGCAGTATGTGAAATATATTCCTTTGAGCGCGCTTTCAACAAACTTGTTACGTTTCACTGGTTATTTATGTTTTGCCAGCAAATTGAATTATTTCCTAACGTTTGCAACAATATATATATGTAAACATATAAAAACGAGCAGATAGCTTTTGGTGTATTCTTCTATGATCTTTTGGGCGGGCACACGCTCGATTAATAAAATACTAAATCAATGTGGGGATTTTTGCAGTAATTCAGTATTTTTATCGATATCGATAGATAGTATTGTTTCCATGCCACACTGTTACAACTGTGACAGTTACAAAAAACAAAGTGGCAAGGCTGGTTTTCTAATTTATTTTGGGCAATTCTGCGTATTTAACAGTTTCATCAAACCGAATTTAAAACAATATTCAAAAGTTAAAATGTGCATCAATATGTGCATATACATATTATTTGAGCAGCCCTTTCATCCATTAAACATTACAATTTTCTCTATTGCAAGATGTCCGAACCATTTAACGATTATTTAGAAGATATTGTCGAGGAACTAGCGAGTCCCAATTTATGGTCAGAAATCTGATTTTGAAAGCGCCAAAAATGATGTGTACAATTTGCGTATGTGTAGCACTTCAGTTAATAACCTTTTTTGCAGATCCATACTCTTCGGTAATTGCTTATGGTATAGTATAGTATAGTATAGTATAGTATAGTAAAAATCAATCTATTTTACAGGCACCGCCGCTCACCACACTCGCCTTTACATTAACGATCGGTACGATGTGATGCTTGAGCTGTTTATACCGTCTTATCAAAAAATTTCATCATTTGAAAATAATGACAACTATGTGTGCTTGGACGTATCAGATGTTCCCTACGATTTGCCAATATCAGATCAGGACTTAATTAATCGGCATTTGCTTAAAAATTGGCTGGATGACATATTTCTCAAAGCATTTGACAGATATATAAATAGTTTCTGGGGCTCAAAGGGGGAGTATTACGAATTCAGCCTACCGGAAGTTGAGCGCAACAGATTACAGTTGGATGTCGTGAGAAAGGCCCTGATTCTCTTGCAGGCCTTATGCGAAGCGAAGGGCCTGACCGAAATACGCTATTATCATCTTATGAATATGGCACTGTCGACGCATGTCAACAAATACGCAATAACTACTACTTTGGACGATGTTTTTTTAATGGTAAAAAGTGGTGTCAAATGAATACCTGTCTTAATCATGAGTTGAAATATAACTTTCCTTTCTCCATTGCAGTTGCTTGCTGAACTGTGCGATGATGTCGAAAACCAACATCCACCCCATTATTTTCTCGGAGACTTGAATCTTCTTAGCAACATAAGCTGCGAAGAACTGTACGAATATGAGGGTATACTTGACCGGGCTTACAGCACTCTCAGTTCGTATGTCCATCAAGGAGCGCTGTCGTATGAACGTTGCAGAAGTCACTTTGAATAGCTAAATAACATTTGTTTCTAAAAGTCTTATGCACTGTATGTAAGCTGGTTCATTACATATTATTGAGGTTAATGCTTATAACAGAAACATTTATTCAACAAACTTTTGTTAACAATTAGAAAAGCTCACTTAGATGAGTTATTTGATCGATAGGCTTTAATAACTCCACATCCTTGGGTACTGAAATCGCATGACCTTGTTTTTTATCCTGAAGCTGGAAGAGCAATTGCACCAGAACTATTACGTAATTAGCCATGGCATTAAGAACCTGAAATAATAAAATTCTCTTTAGTTATATTTCATCTTTAAAGTGCTTTGAATCGAATTTATATTTTTGTTAAGCCAAAAACTAAACGTATCTTGAAATCTGTCAAAATTAATCTTAAACAATATTTGAATTTTAATTGCTTTTCTTACTGACATGAATAACTAAATTGTCAATGGATATGTATATTATTTATAAATATTGTCATGTATTTTTATCCAAAAGAATGAAACTAGAATTCGGATCCTAGAGCTGGTATAAACCAGGAATTGCACTTGTATGTGAACCCTTAAGCGATAATTCTCATAGTCGGATAGAAAGTGGCATCTTTTTACACAACGTACATATTAAATATTGTGAATTCTGGATTAGGGGCTTACCAGGTATATCAGGGATATATTGCACGGGAAACTTGTGCCTATGGTTGCGATCTGGTTATTGTGCATACGCCAGTAGAGAAAGCATTCGAGCTGATCCTTGTGTGTTGCCCGGTTGCCAAAATGCTCGGGGTAGTTACTGAGCAGACGCATGCAGTTGCGTTTCTGGGAAGGATTCAGAGATGTTGTAAGTATTCGTGCTGGCGATCAAGTACAATAGGATTGAGAGTTACCTCACGTTGCAGCAGGTAACCGTAGATGCTGGTGATGAGCACCTTGTACATGTGAATTCCGAGATGCAGTGATATAAATGCATATTGCGTGTCCCACGGTTCGATGCGGAGTAGTTTCTGGCAAAGCACATACACAAAGCAGGTCATGTGAGCAAAGTCGTAGAAGATGCCCGCGGCGGCAACGTATCCACAGACCCCATTCATCTCGGTTAGCAGCTGGGAGCAGCGCTTGGCAAAGTCAATAAGCTGGCCCATGCGCAGCAGGAGCTCATCCTGCTCGTCCTTGTCTGCCGCCTTGTAGAGCTGCTCGACCAGCTTTATAATGAGGCGAAAGCGTATGCGCAGATAGTCCATTAGGCCAACGTGTATGAAGCCCATCAAGCCAAGTGTGCTTGTCAGCAAGGAGTAAGTGCTTGCGATGAGTATCGTGGACACATAGCCGCAGCTGCAGTGCGTCGTATCGAGCATGATGGCGAGCGAAATCGTTACATAGCAACAGGTAACCACAACTGTGCCGTACCAGTACTTGGATCGTGTGAGATGATAGCGCCAGCGTACGTGCGGAAACTGTGCAGAGATTTGTGTGTCCAGTAGCTGCATGCTGGCCAGCATCCTTATATGACGCCTGCGATGCGTGTCCAGCGACACGCAGAGCTCCACGTACGTTACGATACAAGCGAGACACTCCCAGGCGAAGATGATCTTGACCACGGGCGTCAAGTGGCTGAACATAGCCTGCGACATTTGCTCATCGCTCAGCTTTATGTAAATGCCGGCTCCAAAGCCAAAGACCAGGCCAAAGCGCACACTCAACGCATAGAGTACGCTCAGTGCAGTTGATCTGGGTCCACCGTCGCGCTGATTGTGCAGCCGAAACGTAATTACGCCCCAATAAAATAACAGCCTGTACAGGCTGTTGTAGCAATAGACGAATCCGTCGCTTCCGTGCGTTGTCTGCCGCTTCATCCTTTGGAACTGTCTGTGCTGGGCGTCCGCTGGAAGGCTGCTTTTAAGCCACACGCACGGCAACGCCAATTAGCCGTACAGGGCAGTAAGGTGCGTTAATTGCCATGAGATAAAATCGCGTGTGTTAATTGAAAACACAATTTGCCAGTTGGGTTTATTTAGCGCCATTGCGTACACACGCTACATACATATGTGGACTATCTAACGTCTAGAATTATATCATATTAACGTATATAATTGGCGTACTTTACTCCTAGTTGTGTTGTTACTGAGCAGATGTTTGTCAAACTGTATGATTTTGTTCAATATGAAATTTTTAAAACTAAATACGGTTTCTGTTGTTGTGGTTGTTGTTGTTGTTGGGGTTATTGTTGCATGAGGTTTGGGTAAGGAAACAGCCGTCACAGGGCTCGTTTTCAGGTTCGCCGATCCTTCTTGTCGTTCACAGCACCGTTGGTAAACGCATGATGGTGCGCATCCGATTTCTTGCGGCGCAGAGTCTTCTGCAGCACATGTGCATCCGCTGGCTCGATGCGTTTGTAGTATTGCTCTTTGGTGTCGACAATTTCAAAGCCAAATTTCTTGTAAAATTCGATGGCGCCATCGTTGTTAATTTGCACATGCCTGACAGAGGGAAGAGATAACGCTATTATTCAGGCCAAGCACATAACGATGGGCATACTCACAGAAAGATGCTGTCGAAATTGCCATCCTTTTCGGCAAAGTTCAGTATGTGCTCGAACATGACGGTGCCAATGCCCAGGCGACGGTATGGCGACAAACAGCCCAGTGTCATTATATAGAGACGCCGCTGATTATCGGTCGTATCAATGCGACAGCAGACGGCGCCCACAACAATATCGTTGTAGTAGGCGAGCTTGGCCAGTTCGCCGGCTTCCAGCACGTCCACGTAGAATTTGTCATTGTAGGAAACGGGAAACACAACCGTGTTGAGCTTCTTCAGTTGTTTTATGTTATGTGGCGTAACGTCGCCCAATTCGATACTGGATCTGCAAAAATCGGCCACACGATGATACATTTGTTCCTTCTACTTTTAGGTTAGGGTTTCGGCGCCCTTAGATGGATTTATTTTCGTCTGCACTTATAGCACTTACCTAGTCATACTTTTAGTTCACAAAATTATTTATGCCTTAACAATGCGCTTTGCGCTTTAATTTTTAATAGAAATCTTTGTTAAATTAGAAAAAAAAACGCTATTATCTTGATAAACTATTTTTACGCTGTCATCGATAGCAATAAATTTAATATCGACAACAGAAAACAGCTGCTTGTGAGATTTGAAAGTGTGACCAGATCGAAAGAGATTAGACATGAACTTTTCAGTATTTTAATAGCTAAAATATACTAGAGACAGGGTGTACATTGTTGACAAAGTCCATACTGTGGCAAGTTTGTTGTGAAAATAAATGAGTTACAAATAAAAGACAACATGAATCCAAATATGAATATGATGCAAATGTCTGGGCCGCCTATGATGCAGGTCTCGCCCATGATGCAGTCGTCGCCACAGCCGATGATGCCCACCGGACCACCCGGACCCGTGCCAATGCAGCAGCAGCACCAACAGCAGCAGCAACAACAACAACAACAACAGCAGCAACAACAACAACAAGCGGAAAAACTAGACAACATCTCGAGGGTCAAGAGCCTTTTGGGACCTCTACGCGAGTCCATGTTCCTCACGATACGCTCTAGTGCCTTTACGCTGCAGCAAAACAATCTGGCCGACAATCTGAAACGCGATACAGGCGGCCATGGCCATGTTCCCCGCTTCGACAAACACTTGGAGGACTTTTACGCGTGCTGCGACCAAATGGAGCTGCACCTTAAGACGGCGATTCAGTGCATGCAGCAGCTGACATCGTCGCAGCATTATCTGCCCGGAGCTGTAACTGCGATGCGCATGGAAAACTTTATGCAGGACAATCCCGCTGGCCCCATTCCATATCCCACTTATCTGAATACAGTGCGCGTTCACGTTCAGTCGGCGAAGGATATTCACGACACGCTGATTAGCGCAGCCCAGAATATATCTCAGGCCGATTGATAATTGTAGTGCGGCTATATTTTAAGTCTGATATTTTAGAGGAATTACAGTTTTACATATATTGATATGGATAATTGATAATGCGTTTATTTTTACTGTGTGCACGGACTTTGTTAATTAAATTCGCAAAGGAATTTCAGGAGCTGGCACTTGCATTATTTCGATATACTAAGCGCCATCTATACGGCTAGTTCATGAACTAAAAACATAAGCGACTATAAACTCCCCATAGACAAACAGTGCCAGGGCTGTCAGTCATTTTAGGCAATTTTATTTTTGTAAACTCTGGTCACACTTAAGTAGCACTGCCAAACAAGCGCGATTTTGTTATGCGTCTTTTCCATTACAAACTTTAATGCAATAAATGGATATTGTGAAATAATTAAAAGTAATGACGAGCATACGCAAAAAGAAAAAGCCAAAATGTGACCCAAAGGCGTCCGAGCAAATGCGCAACTGGTTAACTAAGCATAAAAGCACAAACAGGTAAATCATAGTAAAAGTGGAAAATGTGAAGCAATGCAAATTCTGACTGCGTCCTTTTGCAGTACTCCGCCAGTCACGTTCAGTGTGTTTAGCAAAGTAGTCGAAAACCTTCCGGATATCGCATTCCAGATACAGTGCACCGAGTTTGCCGCCTCGAACAAAACATTGGATGAGTGCGCCCTCTGGTATTACCATGCCTTCTACAGTAATCCCTCGATACGCACGAAATACGAATTCAGACTAAGATCCTGCCCGTTGCGGGTTAAGGAGAAGCTGCTGCAAGTGCCCTCCGATGGTTCTACTTCTGAAGCGACCACGAATCCGACGCGTGGGCTCCACCATGAATGGGTTCTCACTGAAGATGGGGTTGAGGTCAGAGTCAATAGGTGAATGATAAAACCAGATAATAATGTGGATATGGTTGTTAATCATATTCTATTTCGTCAGATGTGGACGTTTCCTGTTTCCAGTCTCGTTAGCCACGTTTGAGCGTTATATCGATAAGAAGAAAGTGCTTGATGGCATTGTGCGAAAGGAGGCCAAGGACAAGGCGCAGCGTGCGGCCATGTTAGCCAATGAGGCTATGTGCCGGAAGCTTTTGCGCAAATACTATAACGCATTCTACATCTTTCCAAGCAGGCGTCGCCTCGAAAGATGCAATTTTGCAAAGGCGCCAGCAGCACTGCGTGAGCAGCTGCTTAAAATAGGCGTTCCTTTGGATGAGTTGGCAAAGAAAACGCTGGAGAAAAAGTCACAGTAAGACACCCATACACCAGGCACTTCGGAATTATATAATGACCGATGCTTTTCTCCGCAGGCAACAGCAGACCACTGAAGCACCACTGCCCCCAGCCGATAATCAACCAAGCAGGTGAGCTCAACGCAAACTGGCCGCAGCTGACACACTTTTATAATGTATAAAAATATTTCCAGTTCGTGTAACCCGTCGTCAATTGTGAGCTTTGGAGTTTTTGAAAAATTTATCATAAATATCTATGATATCGTGTGGCGTCTGAAGCTTGACGAGCCCGACTATGCTTACAAAGGTTTCGAGGAATGTGCTTATGAGTATTACTTGGATTTCTATCTAACACCCGGAATCCGCGATAAGTACCCGTACGTACTAGCACCCTGTACGACATCAATGAAAGACCGTCTGCTCGCATTGCCAAGCCCAGAAGATGCTCTGCTGTTGCTGCAAATGAAATCAAATGCAAGTCAGAGCCAAAGCTTAACAGCGTCCACTCCTGTCGAGCCGCAAGTGGAAATCGTTGACACAAACCAGCCCAGCATACAAGATGAAGACATTGCAATGGAATCCGATGAGTATGAGTTCAAATAAAGCATCGCTTACTGCGCTATAGTTGTTAATCAATTTTTCAGAAATCAGCCCGTCGTTCAAGCTCCAGAGAAGATGCCCACAAAAGGGGATGAGCAGCCACAGCTTAAAGCACCCGTTTCGTTCCAGATATTCAAGCGCTACATAAGAAATATCGATAGAATTGTGCAACAGATGTTGTGTTGCGATAGGTACACGGGCAAAACTGAAGATGAGTGCGCACTGGAGTACTACAACATGTTCTATACCAATCCGACAATTCGCGAGCAATTTCCGTTCCAGCTCAAACCATGTCCGGCCAGGATACGTGATAAATTGCTGACTCTGCCAGCTAAAGTCGCCATTTCGGCGGACAAAGTCACGGACAATAGACACAGCAACGAGGTCAATTTACCATTGAATTCGGACCGCAAACTGGTTACACTTTCGGGCATAACGTATGAGTTCACGGTTTCTTTTGAAACATTCGTGCGATATATTAACTACGAGGATCTTAAGGCGCAGCTGGACAAGACATACGAGGAGAAAAAGGGAAAAAGTGGCGACAAGCCAAACGATGAGCAAACAATGCAACGCTTCTACTATTTGTTTTATACAGACGAAAGAGTCCGAAAAGCATTTAAATTCAATTTCAATGCAGCTCCCGCTACGCTAAGAGAAACATTATTGAAGATGGCAACACCAATTGCCAGCAAGGAGCAACAGTCGCCGAGCAAAGTGCCGAACGAAGAAGCCACGTAAATTGCAAATCTCATTGTTGCTTCTTGGGCAGATTCTAAGATTCACATTCTATTGCAGGCCAATTACCGTGGAGGAGAGGAAAGAAGGGGAGCAGGACGTGCCTACCATGCAGCCAACGACCAGGTGAATTATTCGTTATCATGTGAATTAGAATAATTTCTAATTAACGTAACTTCCGTTAAATTGCAGTAAATGTGAAACCACAGAAATCTTCAGTTTCGATGTGGTTGAGGATCTGGGAAAGTATGAAACAATACCTGTTCTGTTTATTGCACAGTGTTTTAAATAAGATTCTTGCTTGCAGAGCCGGCCGGTTTAAGTTTCCCGTCGCCTTTGAAACATTTATGCGTTCCATTAACTACAAGGAGCTCATCAGGCCATTGCTCATACGCGTCATACAGGACGAGGCGCAGATGGCTGCTATAGTAGAAAATCCGATGCATCCTCAGTACCAGAAGATATTGAGAAGATATTATCACTCGTTCTATGTGCGCCCGAACATTCGCAGCGTTTATGATTATCGATTTGGGAATGTAAGTGCGGAGCTCTTGCAGAAATTGTTGGCTTACGCTGTGCCTTTGGATGAGAATGCCAATAAAGAGATGGCCGAAGCCGCAAACGAACTTGCGTCAGATGACAAAATGAAAGCCCAGCAGGAGCAGGATAATGAACTAGTCAAAACGTTTCCCGTAACATTTAAATTATTCAAACGTTGCATCAAAAATCTCGACGAGATTGTCGAACAAATGTTGTGTTGCGAGCAGTATAAGGACAAATCTAAGGATGAGTGCGCCTTTGAATATTTTAAAGCTTTTTATACGGACGCGCAGATACGTAAAAAGTTTGAATACACAATAAAACCGTGTCCGGCAAAGCTGCGTGACAAACTCCTTACGTTGCCAGCTGGTAGTTCTCCGGCTCAGCTTGACTTAGTAGAACCGGAGCCAGATGAACCCGAGCTAGCTGAACCCGAGTCATGTGAAATCGCGCCGGAACCCAGTGCACAGGAGTCTGAGCCAGGGCAGGAAGAGTCTCCGGTTGAAGTGGTTGAACCAATGCCGGATATACTCGACGTAAACTGCAACTCGGATCAAAGCAACAATAACAACATTTTAGTGCAAAGCGAAAGGGTTTTGATAACCTTACAAGACAACACCTATGAATTTCCTGTTTCAGTGCAAACATTTAAGCGCTACATTAACTATGACACGGTCAGGATTGAGCTAGCCAATGCCTACACGAAATGTAAACAGAAAGTGGACAAAATACTAAGTGACGATCGTTATGATCTGATATTACTGCGCCGTTTTTATCACTCATTCTACGTCGATGCGCGTTCTCGTAAATTGTGTAACTACAATTTCGATGCCGCGCCAGCCGAGATGCAAAATATACTGCTGCAGTTTGCTGTGCCCTGTCCCAAAGCCCTTTCAATACCCTCACCGTTGCCGTCGCTTTCGACGCCAGCGAGTGCTGCCATTGCTGAAGAAAAGAACTCAGGAGAAGAAATCACCGTAAACACCGACGCAGAGCGACTTGACGAACAAGTAATGGAACAGGAGGCACTGCCACAGCGGCAACACAAGGCTGCAATTAGATATCCCATCTCATATAATATTTTCTCGAACATATTAAAATTGGATGAGGTTGTCCAGCAAATGCAACAGGAAGCTCAATATGCTAACGCTTCCGCCAATGAGTGTAAGCTCGCATACTACGAGGCTTTCTATCGCAATCCGGAGATACGTCAAAAATATAAGTGCACTCTGAAGGCCTGTCCGGCACTTCTAAGAGAAAAACTGCTTCAACTACCAGAAGAGGAACCAATTCCCGAACAAAGGTCAACATGCGAGAATAGTGCGCAGGGTATTCAAAGTGTGGCTGCTCTGTATGCGGCAAGAAAAGCAGAGCTTGAACGGTAAGTTTTTTTTAAATATATTTGTTATGCTATTGACCAACATTTTTTCAATTAGAATGGATAAGTCAAATGTGGTTCAGTACACGCCACACAATCTGGCGACCTATATAGCGATTCGAACGCAATGCCCGAAAAAGCGCGCACTGTTGGAGCAACATTTTATTGGCAGGAAAAGATTGAAGCAAAGGAACAAGGAACAACAAGAAACCGCAGCGCCAACCACTGACGGCACAGGAGCAGCAACCGTTGAGCAACCCGCTCACAGGGTTAGGGCATCAGCAACTATGGAGCAAAGCACTGAGGCGGCAGCAAAAACTCAATGTTCGACTGAAGTTGCAATGAAAGATGTGGAATCAGTCTCAATGAGGAATTCGAGCACAGCAATAACAACAACAACAACAACTTTAATTGCAAAACCAACAGAAAGATTAACAACACAAATAGTAGACAAGCCTGCAGCCCCCGAAAAGGTTGCCTTGACAAGCACTGTGGCAACAACGCCAGCGGAAACCTTGGAAGGTCCAGTTACCAACACACCAGCAGCAACAACAGTAAGCACGTTGACATCAACAACTGCCTCGATGTGTGCACCCACAACTGTGAGAATCGTCAGCAATACAGCTTCTAGTCAACCAAAAGGTGCGGAAACACCGTCTGAGAATAGTTCCAGTTCATCCAATATGGCGAAATCGGGAGCTGTACTCAAAAAAGCAACAGCATCAATTGCAATTCCAGCGGAAAGAGCTGTGGCAACTGGTCTAGGCAATATGCAAATTACCTTGCCAGCCACAACAGAGATCCCTGCCTCTGCGGTAAAGGCAGCCGAAGAGTTTTTTGCAGAGAGCAGCAAGGTAATAAAAAGACGATAGCCGTATTTAATGATAAGCTTGGTATTACTTAAAAGTTGGAAATAGGTTGCTAGTACAGCCTCATAAATCTTAAACTCTTTAAGGAAAATTGTAACTAAGCTTGCTTTTAGATTTTGTTCATCTGCTAAGCAGTGCTATATCCCCATGTCCAGTGCATCCATCTAAACCTGTAGAGCAAGTGGCTGGATAAGGATCCAACTTATATAGAATTTTGAATCTTTGAATTTGAAATTATGTTCTAACCATTTTGTCATTTATTTACAATAGGAGAACAACATTAAGTACTTGCTATGCACTAGCCATGGCGTAAAGAAAACGATTTGGCGCATACTCTCGCAGCTAAGCTACCCGGAGTTCAAGACATATACGAGCATATATAAGGGTGCGTCGTTATATAAGGATGAAAGTATATTGAGTCGATGCTATTACCATGTGCTGGGCAAGGGCAACTGGCCGGGTAATTTGCATCTGAAGCTGCAAATGTTGCCCCAACTGTTGCACAGTAAAGGCGTTCAACTGAACGCCTTTGATTTGGGTCAACTGTCGCCCAAGATGCTGCACTACATGGAACTACTCCGGTTCAGCAACTTGGACGAAATCGTTGAACGGAACTTTCACGCACGCACCGGCCACGATATCGAAGATATGCAGGAACTGTGCACTGAGATTAGAAAGTTCTACAAGCTGTGCTGGACACACGATCAGTGGTTGTATCAAGTGCCACAGGTGAGAGAGGAGTTAGCGCAGTCAATCGCTAGGTTGGACAAAGTACCCATAGCCGAGCCAATGGAGGATTCTGCATGTCAATGTAAGCACCTTGAAATGACGTGTTTCAGAATCGTAACCAAACTTCCAGTTTTAGTACCACTTTGCATGATTGAGGAAATGGCTGCCACTACTGTCCCAGAGAACACAGACGAACAGGCAGAAGAGAACAGGAATAACTTAACAGCGAAACAGAAAGAAGGCAACAGGAATAGCTTATCAACTGATACGCCTGCGACTACTGCTGCGGATACATCTATGCCAGACTTAAATGAAAACGAAAGTAGGTTCGATAGGTTTTAAAATATGCATTTCTTTATAAAACATCATTTAAATATCATTCAAATAGCGCTGCCGCAATCAGTTTGTCCGTCCACACAACTTGAGTTGTCTCTGCGCCCGCCCTGTTTTGTGGACATGGAGAATGTTTTTCCTGCCTCGCAAGTGGCGGAGAGCCAAACTGATCCACTCAATCAAAGCATATGTCCTGCAGCTGAACCAACTCACATCAAGGAGGAGCCTATCAAATTTCTCAACATGATGCGCTTCTCGCTCAACAGCGATAGCAACCCCAGTTCGGAATTCAAATGCGAAATTATAGCAACTGAGGAACAAATCATAAATCTGGACGATGATATCGTGGAAGAACGGGAGGCAGCAGATCTGGCTTGCTTTGAGATAAACAATTCAAACGATTGCAATGTGCCATCATTATCGCCCGATTCAAACTTACCTTCAACGTCAGGGGACTCTTTTCAAAAGTTGCTAGCAGAAGTACAACGATTAGATGATGTTTCGCAGGTGCCCTCTGTCAGTATGTGGGTCCCGAACACACCGGAACCGGTGATTCCAGCACCTGTTGCGGAAACAGAAAATCCAATTACAACAAATGAAATCGAGGCAAAACAACCAGAGCCCGGTCCAGTTCTACCAACAGCGGTGCCTCTCAGGCCAGCTCTAGACAAGAAACAGACAGCGGTGTCTAGGAAGAGGCCACGTCTGATGGCTGACAATGTGCCACAGCTGCGACACGAGTTTCGGCCTTTGCCAATAGCAGCTATGGTCCGCATCGAGTCGCCAGACCTCTTGAATGAGGAAAGATCACCGCAGCGAGAAGTGCCCACGAGTGGCACGAGTCAGGCGCAGCAGTTGGAGAACCAACCGACCAACGAGTTGGAAAACGCAAGGACTGTTTCGCAGGAGCTCGCCACCGACAACACACTCATGGCATCCTCTCAGATGCAACACCTGCTGGATGCACCATTCGTTAGTAAGCGCAAGGTAAATGTAGACGAGGTTAGTGATAGCAATAAGAATGATAGGGCTATGAGGGCGCCAGCAGAGAATAACAAGTGCATCGTGTTCCGGACCCTGGAGCGTTACATTTACTTTAGCTCTCTGACAAAAGCTCAAATAAGCAAGTACCATATCAATAGCCTGGCCGTGGGCAGCCCGTATCAGCAGGCACTGATTTGCGTTAACGGACAGCTCTGTAACGTCTACGGGCCGTTGCTGGAGACCTTGTTCTCGCATTGCACGCCCAGTTTGTTGGCCGATTTCAAGTACTTGTTACGAGATATCGGCGAATTCATATACAACTCTCGAAGACAATTGCAAACGGATCCCACTGAGGATTTACGTACTCGAGTCCTCTGTACATTTATGCGAGTAGCGACACCTTTTGCACAGTTCCGCATTGAGTTCGAGAACGAGACGCGCGAATGGGCCGTTTGTAGAGTAGTTAATAAGCAGGAAATCGAGTCTACTAAAAGAAAGCCCAAGTGTGATGTTCGCTCTGTCATACGGCCCGTTATACTGGAGCGTATGAAGCAAGTCAAAAGTTTGTTAAAGTATAAACACTAGCAGTTCTTTTTTTAAAATAAATTATATTCTTTATACCCTTGGCTTAAATGTTTTCTTTCTTTTCAGAAGCGACGATAGTATTTGTGAAGTTAATATAAGCTGCAATTGTGAATCAATACAATAGATTCCTTTCGGTCAGGATTCCATTTGAAACTATTTGTTCGTCTCAACCCAACATCTCTATTTTAGCAACAGTCGGGGCAGTATATATCTCTTCAGATCTGTCGTAATTCACAAATTCATATCAGATTGAACTCGAAATAAAAGAGATAATTAAACAATACAAATGTATGCCTAAAATGATTTTCATTGATACTTAAACTGTTTTATTACTGATGAGTTTGATGCCGATCGCATTGTAAACAAATGTCTTTCATACAAAATACAGTTAATCATGACAAACAATTTGTTTATAGAGATTAAAAAGATTTATTAAAGAGCGAAACAAAAGAATTTCAAGCTAACTTGCCACATTTGTACTTGGGCGCCAAACTTGAACTTGAAAAACTGTTTAAAATACCGTTTGAATTTTGGCAATGAGATTGGCAATCCTGCAAGCACAGAGCTGCCATAAAAACTTTGTAGAGTTGCCTTTTGCGAATTCACATCTCTTTGTTAGTTGAGGTTATGTTGATAGCGCGCAATTTGAATATCCCAGCAACAGCTGTTGGTGAGGCCGGAAATAAAATGGATAAATTAATTGAGTTAAACTTGACTTGAAATATATGAGTAATTTATAATTTGTTCCATTCCATTCCATGTTTTGTGATGTCCTCATCAGGTAAACAAATGTCAACCTCATAAAACTTTCTATACTCATTTTGATAAATGAGTTTTCCTAAACCCTATCTACGCTTGTATCTGGACATAACCCTTTCATCAGTATGCCCACAAATGTGGCACACACTGACACACGGGATGGCAACAAAAACAATAAACTAACAACCGAAAGGAGAACAATTTAATTAGCGATGACATGTTGCCATTTAATTTTCTTGTAAAAAGTGTAATTAAAAATGTTGCGCTTCGCAGCTGGAGTGGCAGCTAGAAACAGAAGCAGTGGCAGACACAGGGACAGGAGCAGGGGCAGGGGCAGTGGCAGTGGCAAAGGCCAAGCAGACACTTTCTATATAGTTGCCGCATCCGTAGACAAACAAACACACAGGCGATCATATATCGGTTGGTCGGTGATAAATCATATTGCGGCTGCCTCTGGTGCATATTAGGCTCTAAACGACGAGATAATCTATGGTCTACAAAATGTTGCAAGTGGCAATAAATTTGGAAAATACAAAACACGCTGACAATTTTCCATATATACAAAGGTGTGCGGGGTGTGTGTGTGTGTGTGTGTTTGTGAGTCCTGTGCGCACACACGAAGGACTGAGAGCGGAGGACATAGTCGCCGTCACGTCAACACTTTCAACTCTTTGTTTTGTTGTTGTAACTAGCTATATGCTGTTGTTGTTTGTTTTGTTTTCATTCGTATCCTTTCGGCAATAAAAATTCCGCTTGCTATTTATCTTGATTGTCCCTTCGCTCAAGTCCAAGTCCTTCTGCTTGCCGCGCAGGATCGCGCGGACGTGGCATACATTGTATGCCAGCGCCAGTGCCATTGGCGTGGCCCGTGGTCTGTCGCGTCGCTAGAAATTTTTTGCTTAATGAAATGTACATAAAACTAAACGAAATTAAGTTTCTGACGTGCTCGTTTCGAGTCCAAGAGGCCCAGCTCCCCACAACCCTACCGAGGAGCGTTCGCCTTCGCGTTTGCGTTCGCTGCGTGTTTATTACCACGACGGGCATAAAATGCAAAACGCGTCCAATTCTTAGTCCTATCAAATGGCACAAAATGGCCGTTGCCGTCGCCGTCGCCGCCCATTCGAGTGCGAACCCTTTTCCAAGAACGCGAGCCGTCCGAAATGGTCCGAGAAGTGGTCGCTGCGTGCCTCCTTCTGCTGCGAAAGATGGGGTTGGGGAGCGGCAAGAGGGGGGGAATTAAAGCACTTGCCAAAAACAATCGCAGTTGCTGGCACTGCCGAGGGTTGCGGCGCGGGCAGGGTAAAGCTCATAAAGTCGAAATTAAATAATTTGTCTTCTTAATTTTCAAATAAATTCTTCATCATCCAAATAAAGGAAAACCCCAAGCTGCAAAAACAATTGTGCGCAGCACACCCGAAAACACTCAGCCAACCAGAAGCGTGGCGAAATCCCGGCAACAACAAACCAGCCAAACCCAACCATCCTCCCACCACCATTCAACTCGGCACCCACACAACAGCCGAGTTCTCCCCCAGACTCCGGCAAGGGCACACTCCCACTCGAGATGTTGCCGCGCAGGGACTTTTATTAAATTCGACCTACGCCATGCCATGAATATGCGAGCGCTGCCAGTGCTCACGTCCTCATCCTTATGCCCAGCCTCGTCCTGTTCCAGTTCCCATTCCTGTTCCTATTCCTGTTTCTACTCATGCTTCAGCCGCCCTCGCGACAGTTTTCGTATTGTATTTTTTAATATGTTTGTCTGTCTGTCCGACTGTCTGTCGCCAGGCACAAATAATCGTGTACACCATTAATCCTTATTTCACGGCATTGTTCCCATTCCCATGCCCGTTCCCCATGCCAAGCTTCAGCTCCTACTCCTGCTCCTGCTCCTGCTTCACCCTCCGTGCCGCACAAGTGGCATGTAAGCGATTATCGCCCAGATAAATGTATGAAGGAGAAAAACAATAAATGTAAAAATAAATAAAAGGGTGTCAATGACTTTTGATAATAGAAATGATAGTCCAAAAAAATACTGGCACAATATTCGCCAATGCACTGCACAAAATTCAGCAGTTGTATTCAAATGCAGTCGATCAAAATTCAACATTGCTTACTAAAATTGAATTGAAAACAAATTGTTTTGCTGAAATTACATTATATATATTTTTTTAGTTTAAAAAGGGTTTGAGGCTTATATAAATGATATATCATACCAAAAGCGGACATTATTTTTGTCAACAACCTTTTTTAACCCATCCCAATTGATAGAAGGGATCCGTACGAATTCAAAAAGGTATAACATTTCAAAATCGGGCAAAATTAACCTGAGATATTCATAAAAATAATCATCAAAAATGTTTCGATTTTCGAACCGAGCTCGATTTTGAGAAAAAACATGATGTAACCCCTTGCTTTTTGGTCGATTTGGGTCAAAATTTAGATTTTCTTGTTTTTGATGCCAATCGATAGTACTGATCCTTACGAGTCCAAAATGGTATAAAATTACAAAATCAAACGCTTTGAGCCTCAGTTCCGTAATGATCCAATCCTCGTTAAATGCCTAAAACCCAACGCCCGGGCCCGGAACATATTTGAAATAAAGTTTAACATATCCATATTTTTTCAAAGCTAATTTTAAATTGGAATATTTTTATTTGGGAATATATGCATTATGAGATAAGTTCCTTTTCTAAATTTTCAAAATTGTCATAAAAATGAATAAAGTTTCAATAAAAAGGCAACTTTGACTTATAAACTTCAGCTATTACTTACTAAAACACAGATGCGGGTGCTTTTAAAGCATTTGTAGGTGTAGTATTTTTCTGTCAGTGTAGATGAAATCTCGTGGCAAGAAACCAATAAAGTCCAACGACAGCTTTTAGCAATCACAAAACGATTTGAAATACACGCACAGCCAGCCAACCAACCAACCAACTAAGCAAGCAACAACCCCCGGTCACCCGGCCCTTGGCTGACAGTCATCAATGTCTTGGTCCTTGGTCCTGGCCATGGCGCCCTCTTTAATAGTTGCGCACGCTTTCCGCTTGGCCTAATTGCCGGATCAGCAGCATCAAGATGCTGATGCCGATGCTGAACCCGATGATGAAGCTGATGACAATGATAATGGTGATGGTTCTGGTCCTGCACGGAATGTTGGACTTTTCGACATATACAAATTTCGGCCGGGGGGGGGGCACTGCGCAAAATGAAAAATGACAACATTGCCAGGGTCGACTGACGACCGCACGCATTTTCCGGGCCCGGAATAAAGGGGAGCTTGACTTTGACTGTGTACTGGGTGCGTGATCCCTTTTGCATCCTTTTGATGCTGAGGGTGCGAAACGTTTGAATGCGAAATTAAATGATAAAAGATAGCAAGGACACACGCACACAAAGCGTATGCCTTGCCCCCTTGACGCCCGCCCTTCATTTACGCGCCGCGCCGTCAACGTTGAAGGTCGAGCACCTGTTTTATTAAAAAGCAAATAAGCGAATTGTGCGCTCCATGAACGATATGCCAGGACACCGCAGACAGCGGCAGCCGGGGCATTGTTAATGGTCGGATGGTGGTGGTGTTGTCCGTGGTGGTGGATCTGAATGTGACGGCCAGCTGGGCAGGGCGCGGCACAGCAACAAGAGCAACAACAGCAACAACAACAACAACAACAAGAGGAACAATAACACATCGCGTATATATTAGGGCTCATGGACTCATGACTGTCAAGTGGTTGGCGTAGCATAATAATTGTGCATATTTGGCTTTTTAATAAAATCTAATCGTCATGGCATCAGGGGGGCGACAGGGTGTGCAACCGGGAGTTGGGTGCGCTAGCTTGGGCATAATATTGGGCTTAGTCCAACGAAATGAGTGTGTGTGCGATGGTTCTGGCCATTAGCGGCCATGGGCAATGAAATTTTAATTAAATTTGCCATACACTTTCGGGTTGGAGATATCGCTACACACTTTCTGCTGACCCCGGCTCCCGGCCCCTGGCCAAGTGCAGCTCTGATGCTAGCCTAGCAAATGCTGTGCAATGCGAATGTGCCATACTTGAGGCTAATAACGCATATCAACCGCAAACGGCTCAATGAGCGGGCACAAGCCAATTGGATGCGATTGCGACGACGGGTTCCTCGGCTCCTCGATGCTCCACACAGCTCCGCGGAATGGCCACCGAGCGGTGCGAATGCGACTGGCTTTGGCTTCTGCGAAGCGGACAAGTAAGGAGCTGGATGGGGGACAACAAAAAAAAAAGAAAAAAGAAACCCAAGCAAATGCCGAACATGAAATTTTTCGAAATTAATTTCTGTTTCTCTTATCGCGCTGGCCACATTGGGACGCTACGAGTCCAATTCCAGGTCCGAGCCCACAAACCGAACGACCGGATACTGCGCTAAACGTGATGATGCATTTAAGATTCTTCCGATTGGTCATTATTGCCTGGCATTTAATGCTGCTCCGCTGACGGCGCTTTTGATTGATCTACTCATTGACGTTGTTCCCCGCACATGACAGAAAATCATCATAAGGCCATGGACTGGCAACGGTAGCAGGGAGCAGGGGGAGCAGCAGTTGGCCAACTGGAGGCCGGAGGCCTGGCAGATGACAGCGCCCCGATAAGCAAAGGGACTGCAACCCAGCTCTGGTGTTTGGCGAAATGAAAGATGATTCAAGGCTTCGTGCCATATACAAGAATTCAATGGAGCACATGAAAGACCATAGAATCATTTCTATATTTGTCCCAAAATATAATATAATATTCATTGTTCATTGAAAACATGTATAAATATTTTAAACAAGTCTTTGATAAATAATACAAAAAGTAAATAATTGCTGAGAGAAGCTACTTAGCTTTAAGTTTATAGATTAAACTAAACTAAAAGCGAAAATGGAAAAAAGCGTTATATATTATATATCAGGGGTATTTGTACGTCTATTTGCATGTGCTTTTGCTTATCATATTTTCTTCAATATCGATTTCTACACATGCTTTTCTAAACATAGTTAGATCGAGATAGACAATAGATCCCCCATTTCTTCTGAAGTTGAATAAATCTCATTTTAGACGCTCGAGGCTTGTGCCATATTCTAGCCTTGAATTTCATAGAGATCGGACTATAAGCTCCGAAGTTAAAGAAGAATATTTATTGCTGTCATAGAGGGTATGCGAAGCACAGTCGCTGCAATATATGAGTTGGTTTTATTTGTGAATGTATAAAAGTAGGCTAGAATTTTGGAAAGTCAGCTTGGCTTTGGGTATTCTCTTATTAGGCTATTCATCTATTGATCTCCTGCATACTTTAAGTATCGCATATTTGCGTTTGCCAGTCATGAGCGGGGCACACAACCATTTTGTCTATCAGATACAACGGCGAACGAAAGTTAAATAATTCTTGCAGGTAATTTGCAGATACATATACTTAATCTTAATATTTAACCTTTGGCATAAAGCAGGTCGTACGTTTATTCAAGATTTGTGTGGAACAACTCACTTTTAGTTAACATGGCATCTTTTTGAAAAAGTGGCTCGATCTGGCAGTCGCCGGAGCTCATCCGGATTGATTGACAGCTCGGAGACGAATTTGCATAGAAAATTAACGAGGGACAGCCGGGCGTGGCATGTTTTTCCAGTTAGAATTAAAATGCCCTCTGCTAGAGCATAACAAGCTACTAGGTGAATTATTTACTGCATAATAAACTGGCAAGAGTAGTAAAAGTAGAGCTCGAGAGTAGATAAATGATTCATTTCGGGTGAATTGCAATTTACATTTTTTCAGTTTTTGGATCGTAGAAAAGCTCTTTACTTTCACTTTGGCCTGCGCCCACGTGGATACGGATCGAACTCTGGGCCATTAGTATTAGTTGCCCCTGTCACACGGTCATCCTCATCCTCATCGTCATCGACAACGACGTCTCAAACGTCAATCGTGGCAAGACGGCGGGGCGCAGCCCAAAAGCAACAAACACACCGTGTTGCATGCCCGCGCGTACACGGGAGGCATGCAACCGCGTCCCTGCCCCAGTCTCAGTCCCAGTCCAACTGCTCTGCAACTGCAGCGATGGGAACAACAACAAACCGTCCATGACTAAAAAGTTTCTCAAGCCTGGGTTTGGGATCGTGCGTCATGTGTGTGTGCGTGTGTGTGTGTGTGCGTGTGTGTGCGTGTGTGTGTGTGCAAATACATATATGGTCTATAAATGTGTATTTGTGAATTTTGTGTAGTTGCCGTCATCATGAAACAAATTTGGTTGCTACTCGTTTGCTGCCTGCTGGCTTCGAATGCTCGATCGACGAATCGCATGGTATAGTATATGATGAAGTGGTGGCGGGTTGGGGTGGGGCGGGGTCAACTGTGTGCTGGTAACAACTGCATTCGACTTGAGCTGAAAACGCAACGTTGCCAGCGAGCAAAACAAAAACGACTTGAAAGCATTTTGCAGTTGAGCCGCCGCCGTTGCCGCCGCCGATTCGTGGACTTCATCATCTTTGGGCCAAGTTTGTGGGTCTGCGGGCCAGGCCGAGTCGCGGAAGCGGACGCAGTCGCAGTCGCAGTCGCTGGCAATTTAATGCTGACGAGCGTCGGCCGTTTGTTTGGCCATTTGCCGACGCAGATAAGAAATTTGCGATTGCTGCCGCAGCGACGACCAATTGGGGAAAACTAGAAAAGCAACAATTTGATTATCCGGCCGTAGCCGGCTTCATTTCCAGGTATTGTAAGCGCATGCCTTATCAGAGTCTGAGACCGGCAATGGGACTCGGCAGTCGGGAGTCGGGACACGAGACTGGCCATGACGAGCACAAAAGCGATCGTGTTCGATATCGAAAACTGCGCTTAGAATTTCGTCCTGCTGCGATTGCCCATCGGAGCTGCTGCTGCTGCTGCTGTTGGCCGTGTTGGGCTTTGTCTTTGCCAGTGCCGCCGAGAACAAATGGTTGTCCGACCAACTGGGCACCGTGCTGGACCAGGGCCAGCGAGCTTCAGGGCAGGGGAATGGTGGCAGCAAAAACGCACAGAATATCAAGTCAAAGCGAAGACTGCAAAACAGAAGCACGCGCGGAATGTGAAAAGTTGGTTCCCATGACTCCATGGACGAGCCGCTGTTCAAAGACACCGAAATTCGTCGTCGTTCGTGGGTTTGTCGTTTGGTCTGTCGTTTTGTATTGTTTCTTGTTGTTGCTGCCAGTCGGAGTCGGAGTCGCAATCGGAATCGGAGGCTGCTGCTCCCGGTCTCTCTGCTGCCTCTCTCGCCTCTGCTCTCCCAACCGGGGGGCAACTCGCAGTTGTTGCTTTATTTTGCAGCGTTTATCAGCGATTTGGAAGCATTCAACATGCTGTTGAAAAACATAAAAACATATTGAAACATTTCGCATTGCGATAGAAAGATGCGCTGCCCCATAAGATGGAGCATGAGGACAACGACGAGAACGAGCAGCTCTGCCCAAATAGGTGCCGCAGTCGACGCGTGTTGATGCCACATCTTGATGGGCGTTCATATTTTCCGGACACTCGCAATACAATTTGCAACTCTTCCACTTTCATAGCATACTTTTGAGCGCGCGCTACTTTCACGCCCTTATTTATCCTTGCACACACACACACACACACACTTAAACACACTCTGTGTGTGTATTGGCCAAGTCATTCGCGATTACCTCAAAGTAAACATCTCGAAAACATTTTCATTACGTCAATTTGTCGTCGTCATCTTGGAGTCGTTCTGGCTGCTTTTTTGGTTCGTTGATTCGCCGGCTCGTTGGCTGCCTGATTACGCCTCCTTGGCTCCCCAACTCTATTCATAACTTGGCGCTGCGCAAGATTTGGCCAGGTCTGGGGTTGCCAGCATGCGCACGCGGCATCCCAGCGGGTAATGAGCCCAGAATTGCGCCCGCTCCCATGGCAATCGAGATGGCAGTTCATCAAATGGTTCGCCCTCCGCCGCTCGATTTTTATTTAATTTGTTTTCCCCATTGAAAGCTTATCGAAGCATCTTGAGCACTTCCTCAACCGTTCAGACCGCGCATGACCTTGCGACCAGTGGGCGGATTGGGTGAACATAAATGATTCGAATACTGGAATAAATTTAACAATTACAATTTTTATTACAGTGCAATTACAATGTATGTATCAAGGGATTTTTGTAAAAGTTGTGAAGCACTTAATATATATTTAACCTATTATTATTTGGATCTGGATGGGTAGTGTTACTTATAAACATCCTTTCATTAGAAACCGTTTTCTTAAATCATACTGGGAAATCAGGTCCACGAATCATTGGAACCACATTAAAATACATGAATCTATTCATATCCATCTGATTAAGTTTGCCAAGCTTTGTAATACGTCATGTCAATCATTTAATTTTGTGATCGGACCTTGCTATTTCCCATAACGACATGATATTTTAATAATTTCAGGGCTATAACTGTTTGAGGAAAAGCAGGGTGGACTTACGGCTTCCAATTATGGGAAACTGCCAGCCGAAGATGTCGGAGACTGAGCCAAACGTTTGAATACAAGGCACGGCACGTAGTCTCCAATGCCTATATCTATCTCATGGGTCAGTGATGAGATCGCCAAAAGCAGCAGTTGATATTTGAGAAGGATCCACCGACTACCTAGCCAGTGGCCCGGAGTACCCAACTAGGAGATGGCCAAACTAGCATTAAACGAAATTGGATATCGATTTGTATCGAATGCTGGGAAACGGGAAAAAGTTGTTGATTAGCGGAAAAAAAATGGGAGTGCGCACGAGACTGGGAGGACCAACGTTCCTCTATTTCAAGTCTCTAGCTCTTATAAGTTCTGAGCTCATGACTAGATCGACTCGGGTCATAGATGCTGCCTTACCCATTTTTCAAACACGTGAGTTTACGCATTTTTGTGCCTTTTCTTCTCTTCACAACACACACACTTTGTATTTTATTTGGATTTTGCAAATTAATTACCGATCGAAAGTATCAAAAGTACAAATATTGCTCAACATAATCTATTGGTGAAACATGTCTGGAGTGAATTTTCATAAAGATCTCGAAACTAATCGGATGGGTCTTTCAAAACCCCTTTCTTATCGGTCACTAACTCAACATAAACTAACCTAACAATCTGTCAGTCAGCCAGTCAGCCAGTCAGCCAGTCAGTCAGTCAATCAGTCAGGACAAAGTTTAAGCCTCAAAGGTGTCTATTTATGTGCATATGGGAGGGAACATATGGTTCTTCTTGTCAAGCTCGGATATCATTATTTAGTGTGCCAAGGACTATTTGATGACATGAATTTTAAATTGAAATTTTAAACAGCTGCCCGAACGCATACATGCATAACTTTCATTCATATGGGCATATATATGTGCATATGCATGTATGTGTGCGGGATATGAAACCAAATGAGTGTCAAGAGCGGAGCTGTTGTTGTTGTTGTTGTTGCTGCTGATGCTACTGCCTTAAAAATGCAAATCAAGTTTCAAATATTTGAACAATAATATTTGTGGAATGCCACGAAATGCCTGAGGAAACCCAAGCCGAAGGCGGCAGCATATTTAAAATGTCGCGTGCCGTTAACTCCAAAATGCCAAATGCCGACTCGCATACATTCTAATTAATAGTGCGAGCAGGAATGGGAATGGGAATGGGAATGGGAATGGGTATGGGCATGAGAATGGGAACCCGATGTTGCGGGCCAAATGAAAGGCCTGGCTGCCGCATTAGAAAGCAGCCTGTCGAGCCCCGGTCAGACGCAGATGACAATGATGAGGCAACGGGTTTCGATAGGCGGCGATGTCAAATTAATGCATTATGCAAACACAGTGGATGTGCTTCAGGTTGCCAACTCCAAGGCATTTCCGTCGCGCCACTGGTCACTTAGACGCATCCGTCGTTCCTTATCAGCGGCATTCGAACACACAGCTACCGGCTGAACCAGCTACCAGCAGACGCTTGAGTGCCTGGCCGCATCTCGTTCTTGTTCCCATACCCATGCCCATTCCCCATGCCCCCTTCCCATTGCCGTTCCCAGGCAACGTTTGGGCGCTGATTTAGCCGGCCACCGGGCGCGTCCTGCTATCGACGACACATTGACAGGACATTATCGGCACACTTGTAAGCGGCTTATCTTAATTGCTACTGACCTGCACCACGTTGGGTCCGTGTCCGTGTCCGTGGCTGCTGGTCAAGTTATTTTAAATGCGTTTTTCGAGTGCCTGCATGCGAAATGAAAATAATGTGACGATCGCCCTCGAGGGTCCGCTTTGCGTTCTGTTATTGTCACTGTTACTGTTATTGCATCTGCGTCATATTTTGCATATTTGTGGCTGCCTTTTTGGCGACGCTAATTGGAGATTATGCGCAGCGCGTGTCCCCGGCATTCCGCGGATCGTTCGCCAGCTGGGTGGGATGGGTGACGGCATGGGCGAGCAGCTGCAAGCTGGCCAAACGGGTTAGACATTAGAAGCCAGCATGCTCCAAAATGGCAACCGGCCAGTCTCTCTCGAGCGACTGTTTGCGTTTCTTTTATTCCGCAGAAGTATAAATTGCGGCTCAATGTGCGAAATTATCATTTCCATATCGGGCCTAAGAATTTTAACGGCCATTTGTGTGCGCAGTGAGCAACAACGACAACAACAAACGTCGACGAAATCATGTTGAATCGTACACAAAAGTTGCAACGTGCAACGTGCAACTGGCAACTGGCAACTTGCAACTCGCAGCTCTGTTGGCGGATTTACGTGGAATTGCTAGCGGCTGTCTTCCTGCTGCAGCTACTGAGACAGACAGGTGGACACCCAATATGGCTATTGAGTTATTCACTTTGACATGCCGGCAGCGACAGTGGCATTCCGCTGTGAGGGAGCACCGCCAGCACCAGTTCCCGCTGGGCGGTCGCTTCGCCTAGCCAATCTCGCTGCTGCTAAACTGCAGCTGGAATGCGTATTAGCAATAACACTGTGCATATTTTATATTTTGGCAGGGGCGCCGGCGGCGGCAGCGGCGGGGGCAGCGGCAGCAGCAGCAGAACAAAAATTATGACAACGTCGCATAGTTACCAAAGTATTTTCGGTGTGCGGCAATTAGCAGATCTGCTCATACGCCGCGTATGCTGTTGCCGTTGCCCGATGCCATTCTGCATGCGCATATCGCCCGTGATGGGGCAGGCCCTTGCCAATGGGCCAATTTGCGCATAAGGTCAGCAGCAGCAGCAGCGCCAGGAGCAGCGCAGCAGCAGAGTCCGAGTTTGAGTGGTGCATGGAGTTTATCAAAATACGCGAGTGTCCCTGTCTGTGTCCTTTCGCCATTATTGTGTATACGCGTGTATGTGTGTGTGTGTGTGTGTGTGTGCAATTCCCGCAGAGGTAACTGTTGTTGTTGCTGCCCAAGTCCAACCCTTGGCAAAGATGTCTGCTTGCTCTGCTTGCTGCTCACACACACACACAAACGTGCGCATACACACACACACACACACACACTCACAATGACAGCAAACCGGTTTGTATACTCACACACAGACACGGCCAAGGGGTTCACGCTGTGCGCTTGCATGGGGCGGAGACTTCTCTGCTGCTGCCGCTGTTGTTGTTGTTGCCTTTTTACTTGCTCTTATCTGATGGCAATAAGCCGAAACCCGAAGCTGCCGCCACAGCCCCCCCGCTCTGGTCCAACGACGGCAGCTTGTTGTTGCTGATATGTTGCATGAAATGAATTGTTTGCTTGCCATGCGAATACATCACGCCAGGCGCTGCTGTTACGCACACTATGGTCGTCCCGCTCGCACGCACGCCATACGGCTTTGGGCTCAGTGTTGGAATGAAACTAAAACTGGAACTGGAGCTGGAGCTGGAGCTGTAGTTGGGGCTGAAGCCATAACCAAAATGTGTTGCTTGGCCAAAGTTTGGCAAATGTTGCAACTGCTGCTGCTCCTGCTGTTGTTGTTATTATTATTGTTATTGTTGTTATTGTTGTTGTTGTTGTTGCTGCTGTATGAGGTGTGTCGGTTCGTTCG